GGAGGGAGGGGAAGGGAAGAGGGAGGGGGGAGGGGGAGGGGGAGGGGGGGGGGGGGAGGGAAGGAGGGGGGAGTGGATTGAGGGGAGGGGGGGGGAAGAAGGGGGGGAGGGGGGGGGGGGGGGGGGGAAGAGGAGGGGAGGGGGGAGGAGAGAGGTGAGGGGAGGGGGGAGAGGGGGGGAGGGGAGAGGGGAGAGGGGGGGGGGGGAGAAGAGGAGAGAGGGGGGGGAGGAGGGGGGGGGGAGGGGGGGGAAAGGGGGGAAGGGAGGGGAGGGGGGGGAGAGAGAGGAAGGGGGAGGGGGGGGGAAGGGGGGAGGGGGAGGGGGGGGCCGGGCGGGGGGGGGAGAGAGGGAAAGGGGGGGGATTGGAGGGGGGGGAAGGAGGGAGGGGAGGGTGGGGGGGGAAGGGGGGGGGGAAGGGGAGGGGAGGGGGGGGGAGAAGGAGGGGGAGGGAGCGAAGGGAGGAGGGAGAGGGAGAAGGGGGAGAGGGGGAGAGACAGAAGGGGAGGGGGGAGGGGGAGGGGGGGGGAGGGGGAGAGGAGGGGGAGGGAGGGGAGGGAAGGGGGAGAGAGGAGGGGGAGGGAGGAGAGGGGGGGGGGGAGGGGAGGGAGGAAGGAGGGGGAGGGGGGGGAGGAGGGGGGGGGGGGGGGGGGGAAGAAGGGGGAGGGGGGGGGGGGGGGGGGGAGGAAGGAAGTGGGGAGAAGAGGGAAGAAGAGGGAGAGGGGAAGGGGGAGGGGGAAGGGGAAGAAGAGGGGAGGGGGAGGAAGGGGAGAGAGGAAAAGGGGGGGGGGGGGGGAGGGGGAGGGGAAGTGAGGGGGGGAGGGGAGTGAGGGAGGGGAGGGTGAAGGGAGAAGAGGGAGGGGGGGGGGGGGGGAGGGGAAGAGGGGAGGGGGGGGAGGGGGGGGGAGGGGGGGGAGGAGAGGGGGGAGGGATGAGGGGGGAGGGGAGAGAGGGAGGTAGAAGAGGGGGGCGGGGGGGAAAGGGGAGAAAGGGAGAGGAGAGGGGGGAGGAGGGGGAGGAGGAAGGAGATGGAGGGGGGAGGGAAGGGAGGAAATAGGGAGGGTGGGGGGGGGGGGGGGAGGAGAAGGTAAGGGGGGGGGGGGAGGGGAGAAGGAGGGAGGGGGAGGGAGGAGGGGGAGGAGGGAGGAAGGAGGGGAGGAGGGGAGGAGGAGGGGGGGGGAGGGGGAGAAGGGGGGAGAGGAGGGGAGAGGGGGGGGGGGGGAGGGGGGGAGGGAGGGGAGGGGGGGGAGGGTGAGGGGGGGGGGAAGGGAGAGGGGGGAGGAGGGGAAGAGGGGGGGGGGAGGGGAGGGGGAAGGGGGAGGGAAAGGGGGGAAGGGGAGGGGGGAGGGGGGAAGGGAGGGGGGAGGGGGAGGGGGGGGGGGGGGGAGGAGGAAGGGGGAAGGGAGCAAGGGAGGGGGGGGAGAAGGGGGGGGAGGGGGAGGGGGGGGAAAGGAGGGGAGGAGGAGGGGAAGGGGGGGGGGGGGGGGGGGAAGGGGAGGAGAGGGAGGGTGGGGGAGGGGAGGAGAGGAGGGAGGGGAGAGGGGATAAAGAGAGGAGGGGAGGGGGGAGAAGAGAAGGGGGGAGGGGGGGGGGGGGGGGGGGGGGGGGGCGGAGAGAGGAAGAGGGGAGAGGGAGGTAGAGGAGGGGGGGTGGGGAGGGGGGGGGAGAGGAGGGGGGGGGAAGGGGGGAGGGTAGGGGAGGGGGGGGGGGGGGGGGAGGAGGGGGGAGGGAGAGGAGGGGAGGGGGAAGAGTGGAGAAGGGGAAGGGGGGGGGAGGAGGGGGGGGGGGAGAAGAGAGGGGGGGGGGGGGGGGGGGGGAGAGGGAGGAGGGGGGGAGGGGGGGGAGAGAGGGAGGAGTGGGGGGGAGGGGAGAGGGGGGGGGAGGGGGGGAGGGGGAGAGGGGGAAGGGAGAGAGAAGGGGGAGGGAGGGGGGGGGGAGAGGGGGGGAGGGGGGGGGGGGGGAGGGGGGGGGGGGGGGGAGGAGGGAGGAGGGGGGGTGAGAGAGGAGAAGGGGGAGGAAGGAGGGGAGGAAAGGAGAAGGGGGGGGGGGGAGGGAGAGAAGGGGGGAGGGGGAGAGGGGGAGGGGGGAGGGAGGGGGGGAGGAGGGAGGGGGAGGGGAGGGGAGGGCGTAGAGGAGGGGGGGGGGAGAGGAGGGAGGGGGGGAGGGGGGGGGGGGGAGGGTGAGAGAGGAGAGGGGGAAGGAAGGAGGGGGAGGAGGGGGGGGGAGAGAGGAGAGGGGAGAGGGGAGGGGGGAGGAAGGGGGAGGGGGGGAAGGGGGGAGGGGGGGGGGGAGGGAGGGGGGGGAGGGGAGGGAAGGGAGGAGCGAGGGGGAGGGGGGAGGGGAGAGGGAGGAGACAAGAGGGGAGAGGGGGGGGGGAGGAGGGGGGGGAGGAGGGGGGGGGGGGAGAGGGGGAGAAGGGGGGGAAAGGGGGGGGGAGAGGGGGAGGAGAAAGGGGGGGGGGGGGGAGGGGAAGGTGAAGGAGGGAAGGGGGGAGGAGGGGGGGGGGAGGAGGGGAAGAGAGGAAGGGGGGGAGGGAGGGGGGGAGGGGGGGGAGGAAAGGTGAGGAGGGGAGGGGGGAAGGGAGGGAGGGGAAGGGGAGGGGGGAGGGGGGAGTGGGGGAGGGGGGAGGGGGGGGGAGGGGGGAGAGGGGGAGGGAGAGGGGGGGGGGGAGGGAGGAGGGGGGGAAGAGGAGGGGGGGGATAGAGGAGAAGGGGGAAATGGAAGAGGAGGGGGAGGGAAGAAGAGGAGAGGGGAGAGAAGGAGTGGGGGGGGAAGGGGGGGGGGGAAGGGAAGAGGAGGGGGGGGGGGGGGGGGGGGGGAGGGAGGGGGGAAGGAGGGAGGGGGAGGGGGGGAAGGGGGGGGGGGGGGGGGGGAGGAGGGGGGGGGGGAGGAGAAGGGGGGGGAGGGAGGAGGGGGGGGGGGAGGGGGGAGGGGGGAAGGGGGGGGGGGGGGGGGGGGGGGGGGGAGGAGGAGGAGGGGGGAGGGGGGGGGAGGGGGGGGGGCGGGAGGGGGTGAAGGAGGAGGGGGGGAGGGGGGGATAGGAGGGAGGAGGGGGAGAAGGGGGAGGGGAGAGGGAGAGGGGTAGAGTGGGGAGGGAGGGGGAGGAGAGGGAAGGGGGGGGGGGGAGGAGGGGAGAGGGGGGAGTGGGGGGGGAGAGAGGGGGAGGGGAGGGGAGGAGGGGGGTGGGAGAGGAGGGAGGGAGGGGGGAGAGGGGGGGTGGAGGGGGGGGGGGGGGGGGGGAGGGGAGGGGAGAGAGAGGGAGGGGGGAGGGAGGGGAGGGGGAGAGAGAGGAGAGAGGGGGGGGAGGGGGGGGGGGGAGGGGGGGGGAGGGAGGGGGGGAAGAAGGAGGGAAGGGAGGGGGAGGGGGAGGGGGTGGTGGGGAGGGAGAGGAGGGGAGGAAATGGGGGGGGGGGGGGAGGGGGGGAGGGAGGGGAGGGAAGGGGAGGAGGGAGGGAGAGGGAGGGGGAGGGAGAAGAAGGGGGGAGGGAGGAGAGAGAGAGAGGGGGAAGGGGAGGGAGAGGGGGAGGGAGAGAGGGAGAGGAAGGGTGGAGGGAGGGGGAGGGGAGGAGGGAGGAGGGTGGGGGGAGAGGAAGGGGGGGAGGAGAGGGGAGGGGAGAGGGGGGGAGGGGGGGAAAGGAGGGGGGGAGAGGGGAAGGGGGGGAAGGGGGAGTGGGAAGGAGGGGAGGAGAGGGGGAAAAGGAGAGGGGGGGGAGAGGGGGGAAGGGAGGGGGGGAGGAGGGGAAGAAGGAGGAAGGGGGGAAGGGGGGGGAGAGAGGGAGAGGAGAGGGGGGGGGGGGGGGGGGGGGGGAGGGAGGAGGGAGGAGGGAGGGAGAGGGAGAAGGAGGGGGGGGGGGGGGAGAGGAGAGGGGAGGGGAGAAGAGAGGAAGGAGGGGGGGGGGGGGAGGGGGGAGTGGGGAGGGGGAGGGGGGGGGAGGGGGAGGAGGAGAGGAGGAGGGGAGAGGAGGGGAGGGGGGGGGAGGAAGGGAGGAGGGAGGGAGAGAGGGGTGGGAAGGGGAGAGGGGGAGGGGGGTAGAAGGAGGAGGGAGAGGGGGAGAGGGGGGAGAGGAAGGGGGGGGGGGGAGGGGGGGGGAGGGGAGGAGTAAGGGGAGGGAAGGGGGGGAGAGAGGGGGGGGGGGTGGGAGGGGGGGGGAGAAGAGGGGGGGGGGGGGAGGGGGAGAGGGGAGAGGGAGGGGGGAGGGGGGGGGGGGGGGGGGAGGGAGGGAGGAGAGAGGGAGGGGGGGGGGGGGAGAGAGGCGGGGGGGAGAAGGGGGGGGAAGGGGGAGGGGGGGAGGGGAGGGGAGGGGGGGGAGGGGGGGAAGAGGAGGAGGGGAGGGGGAGGGGGAGGAGAGAGTGAGAAGAGAGAGAGGAGGGAGGGGGGGGAGGGGGAGGGGGAGAGATGAAGGAGGAGAAGGGAGGGGGGGGGGAGGGGGTGGGGGGGGGAGGGGGGGGGGGGAGGGAGGGAAGGGGAGGGGAAGGGAGGGGGGGGGGGGGAGGGGGGAGGAGGGAGAGGGGGGATGAGGGGGGATGGAGGGAGAGGGGGGAGGAGGGAGGGGGGAGGAGGGGAAGAGGGGGGGGGGGGGGGAGGGGAGGGGGAGGGGGGGGGAGGTGAGAGGGGGAAGAGGAGGGGGGGGAGGGAGGGTGGAGGGGGTGGGAGAGGGGGGGGGGAGGGGGGTGGGAGAGGGGGAAGGAGGAGGGGGGTGGGGGAGGAGGGGGGGGGGGGGGGGAGGGTGAGGGGGAGAGGGGGAGGAGGGAGGGGAGGAGGAAGAGGGGAGGGGAGTGGGGAGGGGGGTAGGAGGGGGGAGGGGGGAGGGAGGGGGGGGGGGAGTGGTAGGGGAAAGGGGGGGGGGAGGGAGGGGGAAGAGGAGGAGGGGGGGAGTGGGAGGAGGGGGGGGAGGGGGGGAGGGGAAGGGGAGGGGGGGAGGGGGGGGGGAGAGGGAAGAGGGAGAGGGAAGAGAGGCAGGGGGGGGGGGGGGAGGAGGGGGAGAGGGGGGGAGGAGGAGAGAGGGGGAGGGAGAGGGGGGAGGAGGGAAGGGGGGAGAAAGGGGAGGAGGAAAAGGAAGTGGGGAGGGAGGGGGAGGGGGGGGGGTGGGGGGGAGGGGGGAGAGGGGGGGAAGGGGGGGGGGGGGAGGGGGAGGAGAGAGGGGGTGGGAGGGGGGGGGGGAGGAGGGGAGAAGAAGAGAGAAGGAGGAGGGGTGGGATGGGGGGGAGGGGGGAGGGGGGGGGAGGGAGAGGGGGGGAGAGGGAGGTGAGGGGAGGAGGAGGGAAAGGGGGGGAGGGAGGAGGGGGAGGGGGGGGGAGGGGAGGGGAAGGAGGGGGGGGAAGGGGGGGAGGGGGGGGGGGGGGAAGGGGGGGGGAGGGAAGGGGGGGAGGGGGGAGAGGGAGGGGGAGGGGAGGAGGGAGGGGGGAGAGGGGGGGAGGGGGAGTAGGAGGGGGAAGAGGAGGAGGGGAGGGGGGGAGGGAGGGAGGGGAGAGGGGGGGGAGAGGGGGGGGGGAGGGGAGAGGGGGGGGAGAGGGGAGGAGAGGAGGGGGGGGGGGGGGGGGGGAGGGCAGGGAGGCGGGGGGTGGGAGGGGGGGGGGGAGGGGGGAAGAGGTGGGGGAGGAGAGAGGAGGAGGGGAGGGGGGGGGGGGGGAGGAGGGGGAAAAGAGGGGGGGGGAGGGGGGAAAGAGGAGGGGGGGGGGAGGGGAGGGGGAAGGGGGAAGGGGGAAGAGGGAGGGGGGAGGAGGGAGGGGGGAGGAGGGGAGGAGGAGGGGGGGGAGGGGGATGGGGGGGAGGAGGGGAAGGGAGAGGGGGAGGGAGGGGGGGAGAAGGAGGGAAGGGGGTGAGGGGGAGGGAGAGAGAGGGGGGGGGGGGGGGGAGGAGGAGAGAGGAAGGGAAAGGGGATGGGGGAGGGGAGGGTGGAGGGGGAAGGGGAGGGGAGGGGGAGGAGGGGGGGGGGAGGGGGGGGAGGGGGGAAGGGAGGAGGGGAGGGGGGAGGGGGAGGGGGGAGGGAGGGAGGGAGGGGGTGGGGAAGGGGGGGGAGGGGGGGGGGAGGAGGGAGGAGGGAGGGAGGAGGGAAGAGGGAAGAAAGGGAGGGAGAAGAGGGGGAGGGGGGGGAGGAAGAGGGAGGGGGAGGGGGGGGGGAGGAGAGAGAGGAGAGGGGGGAGGAGAGGGAGGGAGGGGGGGGAGGAGGGGAGGAGGGGAAGAGAGGAGGAGGGGGGGGGGAGGGAGGGGAGGAGGAAGGGGGGGAGAGAGGGGCGGGGGGGGAGGGATGGAGGGAGGGGAGGGGGAGGGGAGGGGGGGGAAAGGGAGGGGGGGGGGGGGGGGGGCGAGAGGGGGGGAGGAGGGGAGGGAGGGAGGGGGGGAGGGGGGGAGAGAGAGGGGGGGAGGGAGAGAGGGGGGAGGGAGATGGGAGGGGAGAGAGGGGGGGGGAAGAGGGAGGAGGGGGAGGGGGAGGGGAGAAGGGGAAGGGAGAGGGAAGGGGGAAGGAGGGGGGGGAGAGGAGAAGGAAGAGGGAGGGAGGAAAGAGGGGAGAGGGAGGAGGGAGGAGGAAGGGAAGGGAGGGGGAAGGGGGAGGAGGGGGGGGGAAGGGGGGGGAGGAGGGGAGTAGGGGGGGGAGGGGAGCGGAGAGGGAGAGGAGAAAGGGGGGGGGAGGGGGAGGGGAGGAGAGGGGAGGAGGGGGGGGGCAAGAAGGGGAGGGAGGAGAGGAAAGGGGGAGGATGGAGGGGGGGAAGGGGGGGGGGGAGAGGAGGAGGGGGGGAGGGGGGAGAGGGAGGGAGGAGGAGAGGGGGGGGGGGAGGGGGGAGAGAGGGGGGAGGAGGGGAGGGGAGGAGAAGGGGGAAGGGGAAGGGGGGGGAGGGGGAGGGGGAGAGGGGGGGAAGGGGGAGGGAGGGGGGGAGGGGGGGTGGGAGGGGGGGGGAGAGGAGGGAGGGGAGGGGAGGGGGGGGAGGAGGGGGGGGGGGGAGGAGGGGGGGGGAGGGAGGAGGGGGAAGGAGAAAGGGGGGAGGGGGGGGGGGGGAGGAGAGGGGGGGGAGAGGGGGGGGAGGAGGAGAGGGGAAGGGAGAGGGGGGGAGGAGAGGGAGGAGGGGGGAGGGAGGGAGGGGGGGGAGGGGGAGGGGGGGGGAAGGGGAGAGGGGAGGGGGAGAGGAGGAGGAGGGGGGGGAGGGGGAGAGAAGGGAGGAGGAGGGGAGGGAGGAAGGAGGGGGAAGGGGAGAAGGAGGAGGGGAGGAAAGGGGAGAGGAGAGAGAGGAGAGAGGGAGAGAGGAGAGGGGGAGGGAGAGGGAGAGGAGAGGTGAGGAGAGAGAGGGAGAAGAGAGGGGGAGAGGGGGAGGGAGGGGGAGAGGGGAGAGAGAGAGTGAGGGGGGATGAGGGGGAGGAGGGGGAGGAGAGGGAGGAGGAGAGGGGAGAGAGAAAGGAGAGGAGGGAGGAGGGAGAGAGAGAGAGAGGGGTGGGGAGGGAGGGAGAGAGAGAGGAGAGAGGGAGAGAGGAGGGGGAGAGAAGAGAGAGAGAGAGAGAGGGAGGGGGAGAGGGAGGGGGAGGAGGGGGAGGAGAAGAGGGGAGAGGGGAGAGGGGAGGGGGAGAGGGGAGGGAGAGGAGAGGAGGGGAGAAGAAGGGGGAGGGGAGGGAAGAGAGGGGGAGGGGAGGGGGGAGGAGGGGAGAGAGAGGAGAGGGGGAGGGGGAGAGGGAGAGAGAGAGGGAGTGAAAAGAGGGGGAGGAGGAGAGAGAGAGAGAGGGAGAGAGAGGGGGAGAGAGGAGAGGAGGATGAAGGAGAGGGGGAAGAGGAGGGGGGAGGAGGGAGGGAGAGAGAGAGGGAGGGGGGAGAGGGGTGAGGGGGAGGGAGAGGGGGGGAGAGAGGGGAGAGGGAGGGAGAGAGAGGAGAGGAAAGAGGGGAGGGGGAGAGAGAGGGAGAAGGGAGAGAGAGAGGAGGGGAGGAAGGGGAAGGGAGGGAAGAGGGGTGAGAGAGAGAAGGGGGAGAGAGAGAGAGAGAGAGAAGAGGAGAAGAGCGAGAGAAGGGGAGGAGAGGGAGAGGGAGGGGGAGGGAGTAGAGTGGGAGGAGAGGGAGAGAGAGGAAGAGGGGAGGGGAGGGGAGGGGGAGAGAAAGAGAGAGGAGGAGGGGAGAGAGGGGGAGGGGAGGAGAGGAGGAGGGGGAGGTAGGGAGGGGAGAGGGTGGGTGAGAGAGAGGGGGAGAGAGAGAGAGAGAGAGGGGAAGAGGAGAGGAGGGGGAGGAAAGAGGGGAGAAGAGAGAAGAGGAGAGAGAGGGGGAGAGAAAGAGAGAAAAGGGGGGGGAGGGGGAGAGGGAGGGAGAGGGGGGAAGGGGAGAGGAGGGGAGAGAGGGGGGGAGAGAAGGGAGGGAAGAGGAGAGGGGGAGGGGAGAGGAGGAGGGAAGAAGAGGAGAGAGAGAGGGGGAAGAGGAGAGGGGGAAGGGGAGAGGGGGAGAGAGGGAGGGGAGAGGGAAGGGGAGGAGAGAAGGGGGAGAGAAGTAGAGAGAGGGGGGGGAGGAGGAGAGGGAGGAGAGAGTAGGGAAGAGGAGAGAGGGGAGGGGGAGGGGAAGGGGGAGGGAGGAGGGGAGAGAGGAGGGGGTGGAGAAGGGGAGAGGGAGGGACGAGGAGAGGGAGAGTGAGAAGGAGGGAGGGAGAGAGAGGAGGTGAGAGGGGTAGAGAGGAGGAGAGGGGGGGGAAGGAGGGAGGGGGGAGGGAGGAAGGGGAGGGAGGGAAGGAGGGGGAGGGGAGAAGGAGAGGAGGGGGAGGGAGGGGGGAGGGGGGGGAGGAGAGGGGGAGGGGGAGAGAGGGGAGGGGAGGGGAGGAGGGGGGAGAGGGGGAGGGGGAGAGGGAGAGGGGAGGGAGGAGGGGGAGGGGTGAGGAGTGGGGGGGGAAATGAGAAAGGAAGAGAGGAGAGGAGAGGGAGGGGGGGAGGAGGGAGGGAGAGGGGAGGGAGAGAGGGGAGGGGAGAGAGAGAGGAGGGGAGGGAGAGAGGGAGAGGAGGGGGGAGAGGGGGGGAGGGAAGGGAGGGGGAGGGGGGGGAGGGGGAGGGAGGGGGAGAGGGGTGGGAGGGGAGAGGAGAGGGGGAGAGGGGAGAGGGAGAGGGGAGGGGAGGAGGAGAGGAGAAGGGGGAGAGTGAGTGAGGGAGAGGGGGTGAGGGAGGGAGAGGAAGGAGAGGGGAGGGAGGGGGAGAAGAGGGAGTGGGAGAGGGAGGAGAGGGAGGAGGAGAGAGAAGGGGGGAGAGGGAGGAGGGAAGGGAAGAGGAGAGGGGAGGGGGAGGAGGGAGAGAGAGAGAGGGGGGAGAGAGGGGGAGAGAGGAGGGAGAGGGAAGGGAGAGGGAGAGGAGAGGAGAGGGGGAGGGGGAAGGGGAGAGGGGAGGAGGGGAGAGGGGGAGGAGAGAGGAGGGAGGAGAGAGAGGGAGAGGGAGGGAGAGAGAGAGGAGAGAGGAGGAGGGGAAGAGAGGAGTGAGGGGGAGGGGAAGGGAGAGGGGGAGGGGAGAGGGAGGAGAGGGGGAGGGGAAGGGGGAGGAGAGGGGGGGAGAGAGAGGGGGGGAGAGGGAGAGAGGGGGGAGGGGAGGAGGGGGAGATGGGAGAGGGGAGAGAGGGGGAGAGGGGGGAGGGGGGAGGGGAGAGGGAGGGGGAGAGGAGAGAGGGGGAGAGAGGGAGGGGAGAGGGGGGGGAGGGGGGGAGAGGGAGGGGAGAGGGGGGGGAGGGGGGGGGAGGGGGGGGAGAGAGGGGAGAGAGAGAGAGGAGGGGGGGAGGGGGGGAGAGAGAGAGGAGGGGGGGGGGAGAGAGGGGGGGAGAGGGGGGAGAGGGGGGGAGAGAGGGGGGGGAGGGAGGGAGAGAAGAGAGAGAGGGGGGGGAGAGGGGGAGGGGGGAGGGGAGGGGGAGTGAGAGGAGAAGAGAGGGAGAGAGAGAGGGGGGGAGGGGGGGGGAGGGGGGGGAGAGGGGGGGGAGGGGGAGGAAGAGAGAGGGGGGGGAGGGGGGGGAGAGAGGGAGAGGGGGGGAGGGGGAGGGGGGAGAGGGAGAGAGGGGAGAGAGGGGGAGAGGAGAGAGAGAGAGAGAGAGTGAGAAGGAGGGGGGAGGGGGAGAGGGGGGAGGAGGGAGGGGGGGAGGGGGAGAGGAGAGAGGGGGGAAGAGAGAGAGGAGGGAGGGGAGGGGGAGAGAGGAGAGGAAAGGGGGGAGAGAGAGGGGGGGGAGGGGGGGGGAGGGGAGGGGAGGGGGAGAGAGAGGGGGAGAAGAGGGGGGAGGAGGGGGGGGAGAGGGAGAGAGAGAGAAGAGAGAGAGGGGAGGAGAGAGGGGAGGGGGGAGGGAGAGGGGAGGAGAGGGAGGGGGGAGGGGGAGAGGAGGGGGTGAGGGGGGGAGAGAGGGAGAGGGGGAGGGGGGAGAAGGGGGGGAGAGGGAGGAAGGGGGGGAGGGGGGGAGGGGGGAGAGAGGGGAGGGGGGGGAAAGAGTGGGAGAGAGAGAGAGGGGAGGAGAGGGGGGGGAGGGAGAGGGGGGGAGGAGGGAGAAGGAGGGGGGGAGAGAGGGGGGGGGAGGAGAGGGAGGGGGGGAGAGGGGGGAGAGAGGGGGGAGAGGGGGGGTGGAGGGGGGAGGGAGGGGAGGAGAGGGGGGGAGGGAGAGAGAGGAGGGGAGAGAGGGGAGAGGGGGGAGAGAGAGAGAGAAAGGGGAGGGGGGTGAAGGAGGGAGAGGGGGAGAGAGTGAGAGAGGGGGGGGAGAGAAGAAGAAGGGGGGGAGAGAGGGGGGGAGGAGGGGAGAGAGGAGGAGAGAGGGGAAGGGGGGGGGAGAGGGGAGAAGTGAGGAGAAGAAGAGGGGGGGGAGGAGAGAGGGGGAGGAAGGGGGGAGGAAAAGGGGAGAGAGAGAGAGAGAAGAGTGAGAGGAGAGAGAGGGGGGGGAGGGGAGAAGAGAGAAGGGGGAGGGGAGGGAGAGAGGGGGGGGGGAGGGGAGGGGGAGAGGAGGAGGGGGGAGGGAAGGGGGAGAGAGAGGGAGAGGGGAGGGGGGGGAGAGAGAGGGGAGGGGGAGGGGGAGGGGGAGAGAGAGGGAGGAAGGGGAGGGGAGAGAGAGGGAGGGAGGGGAAGGGGAGGAGGGAGGGGGGAGGGGGGAGGAGAGAGAGGGAGGGGGGGAGAGAGAGAGAAGAGGGAGGGAGGGGGGAGAAGAGGAGGGAGAGAGAGGGGGAGGGGGGGGAGGGAGGGGGAGGGAGGGGGGGGAGAGAGAGAGAGAGGGGGGAGGAGGGGAGGAGAGAGGGAGGGAGAGAGGGGAGAGAGGGGAGAGGGGGGGGAGGGAGAGAGAGAAGAGGAGAGAGAAGTGGGGAGAGGAAGGAGAGAGGGGGGAGGGGGAGAGAGAGAGAGAGAGAGGGGGAGGAGAGAGGGGGGAGAGGGGGGAGGGGGAGAGAGAGAAAGGAGGGGAGGGGGGGAGAGAGGGGGAAGGGAGAGAGAGTGGAGAGAGAGGAGAGGAGGAAGGGGGAGGGGGTGAGGGGGGAGGGAGAGAGGGAGGGAGGGAGCGGGAGAGGGGGGGAGGGGAGGGAGAGGAGGAGGAGAAAGGAGAGTGGGAGAGAGTGAGAGGGGGAGGAAGGGAATGAGGGGGAAGAGAGAGAGGGGAAGAAGAGGGGGATGAGGGGAGAGGGAAGAGAGAGGGGTGGGAGAAGGGGAGGAGAGAGAGGGGAGGAAGAGGGAGAGAAGAGAAGTGAAAGGGGGGGAGGAGATGGGGGGAGAGAGAGGGGAAAGAGGGGAGGGGAGGGAGAGTGAGGAGGGAGAGAGGAGAAGGGAGGGGGGAGGAAGGGAGAAGAGAGAAGGAGGGGAAGAGAGAGAGGGAGGGAGAAGAGGGAGATGGGGAGAGAAGAGAGTGAGGGGAGAGGGGGAGGGGGGAGAGAGAGGGAGGAGAGGGAGAGGGGAGGGAGGAGAGAGGGGGGAGGGGAGAAGAGAGGGGGGAGGAGGAGGGGGAGAGAGGGGAGGGGAGAGAGGGGGAGGTGGGGGAGGGGGAAATGAAGGGAGAGGGGGAGAGAAAGAGGGGGAAAGGGAGGGGAGGGGAGAGGGAGAGAGAGAGAGGGGAGGGAGGAGAGGGGAGAGGGGGAGAAGAGGGAGGAGAGAGAGAGAGGGGGGAGAAGGGGAGAGAGAGGGAGGAGAGAGGGGAGGGGAGAGAGAGAGAAGAGAGAGAGAAGAAGAAGGGGAGAGAAGGGGGAGAGAGAGAGAGAGAGGAGAGGGAGAGGGGAGGAAGAGGAGGGGAGAGAGGAGAGGGAGAAGGGAGGAAGAGGGGAGGGGGAAGAAGGGGGAAGAGGGGAGGAGAGAGAGAGAGGGAGAGGGAAGGGGGAGAGAGGGAAGAGGGGAGAAAGAGGGAGGGGAGGATAAAGGGGAGATGAGAGGGGAAGAGAGAGAGGGAGGAGGAGAGAGAGAAAGGGGGAGAAGAGGGAGAGGGGGGAGAGAGGAGGAAGAGGGAGAGGGGGGAGGGAGAGGGAGAGAGAGAAAGTGAGAAGAGAGGGGAGAGAGGGAGAGAAGAAGGGAGAGGGAGAGGGAAGGGGAGGAGGGGGGAGGGGAGAGGGGGAGAGAGAGTAAGAGAAGAGGGAAGAGGAAGAGAGGGGGAGAGGAGAGGAGAGAGGGGGATGAGAGAGGGAGAGAGGAAGGCGGGAGGGGGAGGAGAGGGAAGAGGGGAAGAGGGGAAGAGAAAAGAGGAGGAGGGAGAGGGAAGGGAGGGGAAAGTGGGGAGGGAGGAGAGAGGGAAGGGGGAAAAGAGAGAGAGAAGAGAAGAGAGAGGGAGAGAAGAAAGGGAGAGAGAGGGAAGGAGGAAGAGAGAGGGGAGGGGGGAGGGAGAGAGAGGAGAGAGGAGGGAGGGGAGAGAGAAGAGAAGAGAAGAGAAGGGGAGGGGGAGAGGAGGTGAGGGGGAGAACGAGGGGGAAGGAGGGGAGAGAGAGAGAGGAGAGAGGGAGAGATAGGAGGCGGGAAGGGGAGGATAGGGAGGGAGAGAGGAGAGGAAAAAGGGAGGGGAGAGGAGGGAAAAGGAAGGGGATAAAAGGAGGGAAGGGGAGAGGAGAGAAGAAGAGAAATTGGAGGGGGGAGAAAGGAGGGAGAAGAGTGATGGATGGAAAGAGAGGAAGGAGGGACGAGATGGGGAGAGAGGAGAGAAAGTGGGAGAGGGAAGGAGGGGGAGGGAGAGAGAGCGGGAGAGAGTGATGGGGGGAGCAGATGGGAGAGAGAGTGCGAGGGAGTGAGGGAAGGGGAGAGAAGAAGAGATAGGGAGTAGGACGAGTGAGGGGAGTGAAAGGGGGAAGGGGGGGAGGGGGGAGGGAAGAGAGGGGGAGAGAAAGGAGGGGGGGGGGGGGAGGAGAAAGGGGGGAGGAGGGGGGGGGGAAGAGGGGGTGGGGAGGGTGAGAAGGAGGAGGGGGAAAGGAAGAGAGGAAAAGGAGAAAGGGAAAGAAAGAAGGGAGAAGAAGGGGGAGAGGAGGGGAAGGGGGAAAGAAGGGAGGGGGGGGGGGGGGGAAAAGGAGAAGGAGGAAGGGAAGGAGGAGAGGAAAGGGAGAGAAGAGGGGGGAGAGGGGGAAGGGGGGAGAAGGGAAGAAGGGGAAGGGGAGAGGAGAGGGGGGAAGGAGAGAAGGGGGAGGGAGAGGGAGAGAGAGGGGGGGAGGGGAGGGAGGGGAAAAGAGAGAGAGGAAGGGAGGAGGAAGAGAGGGGGGGAGGGAGGGAGAGGGGGGAGAGAGGAGAGGGAAGAAAGGGGAGGGAAGAGAGAGGGAGGGGGGGAAAAGAGGAAGGAAGGGGGGAGGGGAGGGGAAAGGGAAGAAGAGAAAGGGGGGGAGAGGAAGGAGAAGAGGAAGGGGAGAGAAGGAAGAAGAGGGGAGGGAAAAGGGGAGAGGGAGGGGGGGGGAAGAGAGAGGGAGAGGAGAAAGGGGGGGGGGGGGGGAAAGGGGGAGGAGGGGGGGAGAGGTGAGAGGGGGGAGAGGGGAGAGAGGAGGAGAAGGAGGGGGGGGGGAGGGAAAGGGAAGGGGGGGGGGGGGGAGGAGGAGGAAAAGGGGGGGGGGAGAGGGAAAGGGGGGGGGGAGGGAGGGAGAGAGGGTGGGGAATAGGGGGGAGGAGAGGGGGGGGGGAGGAGGGGGGGGAGGAGTGGGGAGAAGGGGGAAAGGGAGGGAGGGGGGGGGGGGAGGGGAGGGGGAAGGGGGGAGGAGGGGGGGGGGGAGTGGGGGAGGGGGGGGAGGAGAGGGGGGGGGGGGGGGGGGGAGGAGGGAAGGGGGAGAGAGGGGGGAAGGATGGGGGAAAGGGGGGAGAGGGAGGGGGGAGGGGGAGGGGAGGGGGGATGAGGAGAGAAGGAGAGGGGGGGGGGGAGAGGGGAGGGGGGGGAAGGAAGAGAGGGAAGGAGGGAGAGGGGTGAGGGGGGGGGGGGGGAGGGGAAGGAGGGGAGGAGAAGGGGGTGAGAGGGGGAAGGAGTGGAGGGGGGGAAAGGGGGGGGGGGAGAGGGGTGAGGGGAAGAAGGGGGGAGGAGGAGGAAGGAGAGGGGGGGGGGGGAGGAGAGGGTGGGGGGGGGAGGGTGAGGGGGGGTGAAAGAGGGAAGGGAGAAGAGGAGGGGGGGGGGAGAGAGGGGGGGGGGGGGAGGAGAGGGAGGGGAGGAAGGGGGGGGAGGAAAAGGGGGGAGGGGGGGAGGGAAGGGGAGGGAGAGGGTGGAGAGGGGGGGGGGGGGGGGGAGGAGAGGGGGAAGGGGGGGAGGGGGGGAGGAAAGGGAGGAGGGGAGGGGGGGGGGGGGAAGAGAAAGGGGGGAAGGGGGAGGGAGGGGGGAAGGAGGAGGAGGGAGGGGAGGAAGAGAGAGTGAGAAGGGTGAGGGGAGGAGAAGGGGAGAGAGAGGGGAGGAGGGAGGAGGAGGGGGAAGAGGGAGAGGGAGAGGAGAGAAAGAAGTGAGGGAGAGGAGCGGGGAGAGGGGAGGAGAAGAAGGGAATGAGGAGGGAGGAGGAAGGGAGAGAGGGATAGGAGAGGGGAGAGTGAGGGAGGAGAAGGAGAGGGGGAGAGGTGAAGGGGAGAGGGGAGGGGAGAGGAGGAGAAAGAAAGCGAGATGGGAGGGGAGGGAGAGGGGAAGGAGGGAAGGGGGAGGGAGGAGGGAGGAGAGAGGAGAGGGGGAGAGGGTGAAGAGGGTGGAGGAGAGAGGGAGAGAGGGGAGGGAGAGAGAGAGAGGGAAAGAGGGGAGGAGGTAGGGGAGAAGGAGGAGGGGAGTGGAAGAGGAGAGAGAAATAGGGGAGTGTGAGGGAGAGAGGGAGAGGAGGAAAGAGGGGAGGAGAGGAGAGGTGAGGGAGAGACGCGTGGAGGGGAGAGGGGAGGAGGGAAAGGAGGGAGGGAGAGGAGGAGAAATGAGGGGAGGGGGAGGAAGGGGAGAGAGGAGGGGAGAGAAGAGAGAGCGGGAGAGAGGAAAGAGGGGGGAGGAGGGGGGAGGGGAGAGAAAGAGGAGGGAGGAGAGCGGGAGAAGAGAGAGAGAGGGAGGAGAGAGAAGGGAGCGGGAGAAGAGTGGAGAAGGAGAAAGAGAGAGTGAGGAGGAGACGAGGGGAGAGGGAGAGGAGGGAACAGAGGGAGGAGAGGAGAGGGAGGGGAGAGAGTGAGAGGGGTGAGAGGAAGAAAGAGGGAGAGGGGAGGGAGGAGGGGAGAGAGGGAGAGAGAGGGTCGGGGAGCGAGGGAGGGGGAGAGAGGGGTGGGTGAAGAGGGGAGGAGGAGGAGGAGAGAGGGGAGAGGAGAAGAGAGCGGGGAGAGAGAGAGGGGGAAGGAGAGGTAGGGGAAGAGAAGGGGAGAGAAGGAGAGAGTAAAGTGAGAGCGAGAGGAAAGAGGAGGGGAAAGAGGGAGTAGGGGAAGGAAGAGGGAGAGAGTGAGTGGAAGGAGAAGGGATGAGAGGAGGAGGGAGAGGAGAGGTGAGAGAAAGAGAGGGAGAGGGAGGGGAGGAGGGAGAGGGAGAGAGAGAGAGAGAGAGTGAAGAGAGAGGAGAGAGGAAGGAGGGGAGAGAAGAAGAGAGAGAGGAGAAGAGGGGAGGTAGGAGAGGAGGGAGGAAGGGGAAGAGATAGAGAGGGAGGTGAGTGAGAGGGGAGGAGGAGGAGAAGAGGAGGGAGAGGGGAGCGGAGAGAGGAGAAGGGAGAGGGGAAAGGAAAAAGAGAGAGGGGTGAGGGGATGCAGGGAGAGAGGGAGAGGGAGGAGTAGGAGAGAGAGGGAGGGAGGGAGTAGCGAAGAGGGAAGAAGGGAGAAAAATGAGGAGTGGAGAGAGAGGGGAAGAGGAAGAGAGGAGGGGAGGGGGGAGAGAGGAGGAGGGAGAGTGGGGAGAAGTGAAGAGGAGAGGGGAGAGAGGCGAAGAGAGAGGAGAAGAGGCGGGGAGGTGGGGAGAGAGGGGGAGAGCGAGAGAGGGAGGGAGGGAGGAGAGAGGTGAGGAGGGAGGAAAAAGAGGGAGGGGGAAGAGAGGGGGGAGGGAGCGGAGGGGGGAGAGGAAGAGAGGAGAGAGGTGAGAGGGAAAAGGAGGAAGAGAGGAGGAGGGAGAGGGGAAGGAGGAGGGGAGTGAGAGAGGGAGGGGAGGAAGGAGAAGGAGAGGGGAGATAAGAGGGGAGAGCGAGAGAGAGAGAAGGTGAGGGGTACCGGTGAAAGGAGGAGAAGGCGGAGAGGGAGGGGAGGAGATGAGAGGAAGAGAGGGAGAGCAGGGGGAGAGGGAGAGGGGAGAGGAGAATGAGGGGTTTGCGAGAGGAGCGAGGGAAAAGGGGAGAGGGGAAGAAGAGAGAGAAAGGGAAGGGGAGGAGAGGTGAAGTTGACAGGGGGAGGAGGGGAAGAGAGGGAGGGAGGGTGGGGAGGGGGGAGAGGGATGAAAGAGAGGGGGACGAGTGGGGTGTGGGAGGTGAGAGGAGGGAGAAGGAGAGCGAGGGATGGGGTAGGGAGGAAGGAGAAGGGATGATAGGGAGGAGGGTAGGGGAGGGGGGAGAAGGGAGAGGAGGAGAGAAGAGGGGAAGGAGAGAGGGAGGGAGAGGAGAGGGAGTAGGGAGAGGGGAAGAAAGGAGGGTGAGAGAGAAATAGGGGTAGATGAGAGAGAGAGAGGGGAGGAGAACTGTAGAAGAGGAAGGACGGGAGAGAAGGGGAGAGGGGAGAAGGAGGGAAGAAGGGGAAGGAGAGGGGGGAGAGGGGAGAAGCAGAAGGGAGGGGAGGAAGGGAGGGAAGAGAAGTGGAGGGAGCGAGGGGAGGAGAGGGGGAAGGAGGAGGGGAGGGAAGGATGGGAGGAGAAAGGGAGAGAGAAGTGTGGGAGTGAGAGAGTGAGGGGGAGAGGGGAAGGAGGAGGGGAGAAGGGAAGAGAAAGGGAGGGGACAGGAGGAGAGGAAAGGAGGAGAAGAGGGAGGGGAAGGGAGGGAGGTGAGGGAAGGAGGGAGGAGAAGGGAGTGCGGGCGGAGGGTAAAAAGAGAGGAGTGAGGAGAGAGGGGAAGAGAGAGAGGGGAGAGGGAGAGAGAGGAGCAGGGGAGGGGAGGCAAAAGAGAGTGAGAGGGAGAGGGAGGGAAGGAGCGGAGGGAGGGGGGTGGGAGAGAGAGTGAGAGTAAGGGGAGAAGAAAGAGAGAAGGAGGGAGAGGGGGGAGAGAGAGGGGAGGGGAAAGGGGGAGGAGGGGAGGTGAAGAGGGAGAGAGGGGAGAGGGGAGAGAGGGTAGGAAGAGGGAGGGGGAGAGGGAGGGGAGAGAGTAGGGGGACGGGAGGAGGGGTGAGGGAGGAGGAGGGGGAGAGAAGGGAGGGGGGAGAGGGGAGAGGAGGGAGAGAAGAGAGAGAGAGAGAGGAGAGGAGAGGGGAGAAAAGGAGAGAGAAGGGAGAGAGGAGAGGGTGTGAGAAGAAAGGGAGGAGAGGAGAGAGGGAGGAGAGGATGAGAGAGGGAGCGAGTGGGAGGGAGCGAGAAGGAAGAGAAGGAGAGAGGGGAGAGGGAGGGGAGGAAGAGTGAGAGGGGGAGGAGGGGCAGGAGGTATGAAGGGAGGAGTGCGGGAGGGGGGAGTGTAGGAAGAAGGGAGTGAGAGGGAGAGGGAGAGGAGGAGAGAAAGAGAGAGAGAGAGGTAAGAGAGAGAGAGCGGGAAGGGTGAAGAGGAGGGAGAGGGTGGAAAGGGGAGGAGGAGAGAGAGGAGGGAGGAGGAAGGGGTGGAGCGTAGGGAAGGAGAGTGTAGGTGAGAGGAGGGGAGTGGTGGGGAGAGGGGAGATGAGGGAGAGAGCGGAGGGGTGGGTAGAGGAGAGGAGAGAGGGAGAGAGGACGGAAATGGAGGGAAAGAGAGAGGGGGAGAGGAAGGGAGGAGTGAGGGAGAGAGAGGAAAAGAGGAAGGGAGCGAGAGGGGAGAGAGAGAGGGCGGGGGGGGGGGGGAAGGGAGATAGGGGGGGGAGGGAGGAGGAGGGGGGGGGAGAGAGGAGGGGGGAAGGAGGGGAAGGGGGGAAGGGGGAGAGGGAGGAGGGGGGGGGAAGGGGGGGGGGGTGGGGGGGAGGGAGGGTGGGAAATGAGGGGGAGGGGGGAGGGGGAAGGAGAAGGGGGAGGGGGGAGGGAGGGGAGAAGGGGGGGGGGGGGGGATGGTTTATGTTGAGTTGTAGTTGTGATATTTATGTGAGGAAAGGGGTTAGGGTTTGGGAGGGATCGAGGAGGTGAGGAAATGGGGAGAGGAGATGAAAGTGTTGGGTGTTGATTAGGAGAGGGGGTTGAGTAAAGAGTTGGGGTTATTAAGGGTTGGTGGTGATAAGGGGATGGGGGTTTGGCTGGAGGATAGAGATGGTAGGGGTGTTAATGAGGGGTTGGTGGAGTGGTTTAGTTGATGTTTGTGAGTGTTGGTGTAGGTTGGGAAAAAAAAAGATTTTTGTTGTAGGGGTGAGGGATAAGGTTTTGTGAAGAATTGGAGTTGGGAAGTTTAAATGAGTATGATTGGGAATGTGGATGGGGGGGGTGGTATTGTGATGTTTAAAAAAAAAAGGTGGAAGATTTGAGTTTAGTGGATGGATTGGGAGTGGATTGGTGGTTTTTTGTGTTGGTTTGAAGGTTATGGAAATTTGGGGGGGAGTGTAATTTATTATTAAGAGGGAAGAAGGGTGGTGAGTGTGTTGTTATAATATGTGTGTAAGGGTTTTAGTCTGAGTAAAAGATTGAATTGGGTTGTGTGGGAGGTGTTTAATTATATTAAAGAAGGGGTGGTGTTGGGAGGGTGGGTTAAGAGTGGGGGTAAGATTTTGTTAGTTGTGAGGAATTGTGGGTGGTTATGGGTAGGTTTTTGTGATTTTGGGTTTTAGATTAGGGGAGGGGAGTAAGAATTATATGTTAAGTGAAGTTGGAGAAGGGGGGAGGTGATGAATTATGGAATAGGGGAGAAGATTGAGAATAAATGATAGTGGTGGAGAGTGAGTTTTGTAGTAAGGTATATTTATTGGTGGTTTGGGGGGGATTTGAATGTAAGTTGTGTAAGTTGTGGTGTATGATGGAGTTATGTGAATTTTAATTGGGGTAGATTGGGGTTATTTAAAGTGGTTTATTTTGGGTGAGGGAGTTTTTTAATTTTTTGGTATGCGGTAGGGTAATGTGGAGAGTTGGTTAAAGTTTATTGTGGAGGAGGTTTGAGGAGGAGGAGTATGGGGTGTTTTGAGAGGGGGGGGGAGGGGGAATAAGTTGTAATGGTGGTGAAGGTGTTTTGTGGGGGGGGTGAAATTGTGAGAGGTGGTTAAGATATAGGGGGGGGGGGGTGTGATAAAAGTGGAAATTGGGATAATAATGGAATGATATGAGTTTTTTTTAAATGTTGGGTGGGTATGGGATTATGTAGGGTGTGGTTAATAGGAAGGTTGATGGAAACAAGAAGTTAGGGGGGGGGGGTTCGAAGGGGTTTTGTGGGTTTGGGTGAGGGAAAGTGGGGGGAGAAGTGTTGTGAAATGGATATGGTGGGGAGTTGTATTGGTTTAAAGATGTTGAGTTTGGGGAGGGGGGGAGGGTGAAGAGGGTGATAGGAGGGTATGGTTTTTGTAAAGATTAGGGAGTAGGGTGTGTTGATTAATTGTTATTTTTTAGGTTTATTTTTTTGTTAATTTTTATTTGTGTTTTTTGTTTTATTTGTAATTTTTGTTTTTTTTGTTGTTATTTTAGTTTATTTTTGGTGTTGTTTATTGTAGTGTTAGTTTTTTTGTATATGTGTTTTTGTTTTTTTTTTTGTTTTTGAGTTTTTTTTTATATTTTTTTTTTATGTTAATTTTTTTATGTTTTTGTTTTTATTTTGTTTTTAGTTTTTTTTTTATTTTTTATTTTTGTGGTTTTTGTATTTGTTGTTTTATGTTTTGTTTTTTGTATGTTTTGTTTTGGTGTTTTAATTTTTTTTGATTTTAGATTTTGTTTTAGATTATTGTTTGTTTGTATTTTTTTATAATTGTTTTTTTTTTGTAAGTATATTTTTTTTTTTATTTTATGTAGTTTTTTTGTATTTTTTTTTTTTTATTTTTTGAATTGGTTTATGTTTATTGTTTGTTTTATATTATTATTTTATATTATTTTTTGTTTTTTTTATTTTATGTATTTTTTGTATTTATTGTTTTTATATGTTTTTTATGTTTTTTTTATAATATTTTATTAATTTTTTTTGATGTATATTTTTTATGTTTTTTATATATGGTATGTATGTTTTTATATTTTTTATTTTATAGTTGTATATTTATATATATATATATAATTTTTTAGTATATTTATTGTGTTTTTTATGTATGTTTTTTATATATATTTTATAAATATATTTTGTTTTTTTTATTATTTTTTTATTTATTTTGTATTTTATTTTGATTTTTTATATTGTTATTTTTTGTATTTTATTTTTTTTATAGTTTTATTATATATGTTTTTATTTATTTTTTATTTTATTGTTTTTTTTTGTTTTATTTGTATTTTTATTTTGTATGTTTTTTATTTTTTTATTTTTTTTATTTTTTATTTTTTTTATGTTTTTATTTATATTCTTTTTTTATTTTTTTTATTTTTGATTTTTATATTATTTTATGTTGTATTTTTTTATTTATCTGTTTTTTTTGTTATTATGATGTATTTTTGTATATTTTATAATTTTTTTTATTATTTTATTTTTGTTTTTATTTTTTTATTTTATTTTATGTTTTATTTTTATTTTTGTTTTTATATTTTTTTTATTTTTTAATATGTTTTTTTATATTGTGATTATTTTATATATATTATTTTTTATTTTATATGTATTTTATTTTTTGTTATTTATTTTTTTTATTTTTATTTTTTATATATTTTTGTATTTTTTTATTTTTTTGTATTTTATTTTTATTTTTTGTTTTTATATGATTTATTTTTTATTTATGTGTATTTATTTTTATTTTATTTTATTTTTATTTTTTTTATTTATTTTATTTTTATAATGTTTTTATTAATTTTTTTATATATAATTTTTTATTAATATATTATTTATTATGTATATTTTATTTTATGTGTTTATTTTTTTATATTGTTTTTATTTATTTTTTTTTATATTTTTTTATATTTTATATTTATTTTTTGTTTTTTTTATTATTTTTTATTTTATTATTTTTATTTTTATTTATTTATTTTTTATATTGTATTTTATATTTTTTATTTTATTTTATTTTTTATATTTTTTATTTTTTTTTATTTTTTTATATTTTATATATTTTTTATATATATATTATTTTTTATTTTTTTTTATTTTTTATATATTTTATTTTTATGTTTTTTATAATTTTATTTATATTTATTTTTATATATATTATATTATTATTTATATTTTTTTATTATTTTTTTTATATATTTTTATTTAATTTTATTTTATATATATTTTATATATGTTATATTTTTTATTTATTTTTATATATATATATATATATTATATTTTTATATATATTTTATTTATATTTTTTATTTTATTTTTTTATTATTAATTATATATATTTTATTTTTTTATATTCTTTTTTATTTTTTATATTTATATTTTTTTATTTTATTTTTATTTTTATATTTTTTTATTTTATATATATATATTTATATTATATATATTTTTTTTTGTTTTTTTATTTATATTATATATATTATTTTTTTAATAATATATTTATTTTATATTTTATTTTTTATTATTTTATTTTATATTTTTATATTTTTTATATTTTATTTTATATATATTTTTTATTTTATATTTTATATATTTTTTTTATATTTTTTTTATTATATATTTATATTTTTTTATATATATATATCTTTTATTTATTTTATATTTTATTTATTGTGTAATTTATATATTTTATTTTATTTATTTTTTTTATTTTTTTTTGATTATTTTATTTTTTTTTTTTTTTAATATAATATGTTTTAATATTTATTATTATTAATTATTTTTTTTTTTATATTATTTTTAGTTTTTTTTTTTGTATTTTTTTATTAATTTTATTTATTAATTAATTATTTAATTTTTTTTTTTTTTTTTTTTATAAATTTATAATTTTTTTTGTTTTTTTAGTTGTTTTATATTTTATTTTTTTTTTTTTTATTTTTTTGATTAGTAATTTTTTTTATTTTTATTTTTTTTTATTTAATTGATTTTTATTTTATATTTTTATTTTTATTTTTTTTTATTTTTTTTTTAATTTTAATTTATTTTTTTATTTTTTTTTGAGGAGGTTGGGGAAATGGTGAAGTGTAGGATTGGGGAGAGGGAGGGGAGGGGGGAGGGGGGGGAGAGGGGGAGGGGGGGGGGGGTAGGGGAGAAGAGGGTATGTGGGGATGAGGGAGGGGGGGGAAGGGAAGAGGGGGAAGAGGGGGAAGGGGGGGGGGGGGGGGGGAGGGGGGGGGGAGGAGATAGGGGGAGAGGGGGTGGGAGGGGGGGAGGGAGAAGGGAGGGAGAGGGGGAAAGGGGGGAGGGAGGGGGGGGGGGGAGGGAGGGGAAGGGGGGAAAGGGGGGGGGGGGGGAGAGGAAGGGGAGAGGGAAGGGGGAAGAAGGGGGGGGGGGGGGAGAGGGGGGGAAGGAAGGGGGGAGGGAAGGGGGGGAAGGGGGGGGGGAGGGTGGAGGGGGAGGAGGAAGGGGGGGGGGGAGAGGGAGGGGAGGGGGAGGGAGGGGGGAGAGGGGGGAGGGGGGGGAAGGGGGAGGAAGGGGGGGGTGAGGGGGGAGGGGGAGGGGTGGAAGAGGGGGAGGGGGGGGAGTGGGTGCGGGAGAGGAGAGTGCGATGGAGTGGGTGGTGGAGGGAGTGGAGAGAGTCGGAGATAGGAGAGAGTCTGAGGGAGAGAGGGATGAGGGAGTGAGAGAGAGAATCTGAGTGAGAGTGGGTGGTGTGGGGTGCGTGAGGGAGGTCAGAGAGGAGTGAAGTGAGTAGCCGAATGAGAGTGAGAGGAGAGGGAGCGGG